CCAATAGAGGAAATGTCATAAAATTATCACTGGACCACCCATAAAGATAGCAGATTCAAACGCACCAGTCGACATATAGGTGGCGCCTGTTTACTTTGAAACTTTCTTGTAAGTCAAAAATATAAAAAAAAAAATATATTTTTTTTTGAATTCCTTTTCCACACCTTAGATTACCCGTCAGTCGTTTTTGTTTTAAGTTTTGTTATTTTATCTTTCTTTTCCAATGTGCTTTATTATAATAAGTTTGTTTATTAAGTTTATTAGTTTTAAAAAAATTATCTATTGGATGCAATTTATGAAAAGTTTAATCGAGTACAAAATAAATAAAAATTTATTAACTTCAATTAATTTATTACTAAATATTATATTATATATATTTAGTAATAAAGTTAACCCAGTATCGTCGCTATTTCCTTATCTATCCAATTGTATTTGGAATCCCAATCCCGGTCCTGCTGTGTGGTCATCTTTTGAATAATATCCGACTGATCCCCAACGAGCGCCAACTGCCGATTGAAGCCGTCTAAATCAGCCTCAGCACAATAGAACAGCTGATCGATGTAGTCCACTATCAGCTGTTCTGATATATCCATTTTAGCTCTGGTTGATGGTATATTTGGATACCGTAGGCTGAGTTCCCCACGGTAAGCGAAGATGAGGTACTGCAAGCTGGACTGCGCTGGATTTGACTGCATAACTGTTTTCTAAAAAATACAGATTTTTATACAAATTAAGGAGGAGCTCATTGACTCGATAACTCGCGGACAGAATGAGAATGCGTCTTCACTGCGGCAGCAATGCCTTTTAAGCACATTTTCAAAGGACGTGATAGTTTATTTGTGGGCTTTTCCGTAAATATTTATTTGTCCTCTTAGCAGGTACGAAAAATAATTAGTATTGGTTTGTTTGTTTATCCTTCGGTATTAAAGTAATTAAATAGGCACAAAATGGTAAGTAGCTACCGTATTTTAAAAATAGTTTCCATTGTAAACGAAAAAATTAATATCCAGTAAAAACGGAAAAGTTTCATGTGTAATGATCACAGCTACCTGAATTATCTGTTGAATTACTGAGTGACCTAGTTTCAAATTTCAAATAAAGAAATTGTTAGAAACAGTCAAGTCGTTAACCTGTGTTCAATTCACGATCGCAATTGGCACACTCCGTGTTAGTCGACGAATGCAAGAACAGTTTTCCATGGTCTCCGAAGAGTTTAACTTGACTTAATTCTGGCACAATCTAAAGTAACGAATAGTATTATTTTTGCCAAACTAAAAAACTGAGAAGTAATGACTCTTATAATCGCTTACACAAAACACCTTGTACTAAGCCCATTTACACAAAGTTAAAGCTTAAAAATGGACCATAATAACATTAAGTGATCAAGAACACCCTAGAGATAGATTACCGGAAAATAGTAACACATTTAAAACTTATTTATAGAATTATATTCTTGAAGTAGAACTGACCGTTTTTTTAAGGTAGCAAAGCATCAAAAGCCGGCAGCTCTGCAGCTCGAATTATTTGCTCCATCAGTAGAGTGAAGAAGTCGCACGATTAGGAGTCGCCTTGTCTGAAATCTCGTTTGGTATCGAACACCTCGGGGAGGTCCTTTTCGATCCTGACGCAGCTTTTAGTATTGCTCAACTTTAGTTTATACAGCCTTATCAGTTTTGCGGGGATACCAAATTCAAACATCGCGTCATAAAGGCAGCTCCTTTTCGCGCTGTCAAAAGCATCTTTGAAATCGAGGAAGAGGTGGTGATTGTCGATTCTCTTTTCACAGCTGTTTTCCAAGATTTGGTGCATGGAGAATATCTGGTCCGTGGTGATTTTCCAGTTTTAAAGCCACACTGATAAGGTTCAATCAGTTTGTTGACGTTTCTAGTATTCACGCAGTCGGGTATGCTTTCGTCCGACCATGTTCTACAAAGAAGCTGATACATCCTCCTTATCACTACTTCACCGTGTATTTATTTTGGATAATTGTTATTTGAACTTCTTCATGGTCGGGCAATGGAACGTCTGCTTCATCGCCATCGATTGAAGAATCGGGTTCTCCCTGTTCTTGCGTTATGCTTTCACTGCCGATTAGCAGATTGAAGAATTCCATAATTTTAGTATGCTTTGGGCATCAGATCGTCTCTACGGTTTCTACAAAAGATTTTGATATTATACTGTTAATTTTAGCCTTTATTTAAATAATACTTTATTTGGTTATGCATTTATGTATATAAAAAAATTAGAAAAATTGTATTTCTTTTAATTCTTCTTTCCAATTTTATTGATTGTATTGTAATTGCTTTCAACGCTGAAATACAAGTAAAAAATTGCTAGAAAGTCGTTTAAATTTAAAGCTTCTCACAGCAGCGCAACGGCGACATTAACACCTGCACACCATTAGGTGGAGCGACGGCCATACAACCATATCACATACATACATTTTGCTTTTCCAAACAGCAGCAGCAAGCAAAGGGTCCCGGTACCGTGTGCTAAAGGCGGGTCATTGTGCACTGTTTGCGCCTTTGCCTAAGCATATGCATAAATACATATTTTAGGTAGCATAAGAGCCACCGCCACCGCGTTTGAGTGAATGTGGTGTTTGCCGAATCCTTTCATCGCCTCACTTTGCAGTAGCGATCGTGCGTGTGTGCTTGTCGACCATTTAATGACCACCCTAAAGGCAAGTTGGCGCCGTTTACAAACGAGCTGGCCACATACATACCTAAACACACACACATGTGCGCGTCACACTGATTTGCAAATTTTCTTAACTTGCTTTCTTTTATTTTCCTGTGTTGGCGCAGTCGAGTGGCGTCAGCAATTTTTCCCCATAAGTGCACTAGTAGTTTGCACGAACAAGCGTGTGCCATTGCATGTGCAGGAGCATATGTCCGCACGCGTGCTTTGGTGTGAAATCAAAAAAGCGGAAAGAAATTGTATTTTATGCTGTCGCTGCAGTTGCCGAGCAATATGCCCAAAGTGTCATAGTTGAAGTGCAAAGCAATCAAAAGTGACTGGCAGGCGGAAGGCAGGCTAGCAGGTAGGCGGCATGGCGGTGGCAGTGTCGACTTAGGGCAAAAGCCTGTCACTTGCAAGGCGGCAGGTGTTGCAGTTTGTCACTGACCGCGTTCAACTATTCCAATGCGTGGGTATAGAGGCTTTTGCTATAGTTCTAGGCGAATGATGCGACCCTTCAGGGAAAGTTTTGGTTAAAACAACGAAGGCCCTGTTGGAAGTGCTTTTATATTTAGCGGTTGGTATATATACATATACATATATTTACAATTGTATGTATGTAAAAATAAATTAAAAATAATATTATTTTCAAAACAAAAAAAGTTAAAAATTATGGAAAGAAGTTA